TGGTTCGTTGTTTATTTATTGCATGTTGTTATTTTGTTGCTGCCCCTCGGGCAAAAGGTCTATTGCATCTGCGAAGGCTATTTGCAGCGCTGCTTGTGGCACTGTCGCCTGTCAGCATCATCCCCCAGCATTGATGGCGGCGACAGCCTTGTGCATTAAATCAAAATCTGTGAAGCTAATGCCGCTGCTCAGCTGCCCAGCTGCCCATCCAAAGTTGCCCAGTTGCTGTCCAAGCTGCCAAATTGTTTTGTCACATTTTCGTCAGCTGTGCACAGCATTTCCGCTCTCTCTTTCCCACTCTCTCTGCCTCTCTCTGCCTCGCTGGCTGTCTCGGTCGCTCTCGCAATCATTAATTCACGTCTAATTAGTTATGATTTTCGGGATGGTTTCAATTGTGCGCAAAACAACAAGGACGTGACTTTGGCAAAGAACTTGCCGTCCGTCACAGATCAAAGTGAAAATGTCACAAAATCAACGAGAGCAAATAAATATTAGAAATTCATTTGTATTATATATGAATGTATACATATATACGTATATATATGTATATACATATATATATGTATGGTATTGCTATATATAGTATATGGATAATTAGTCTGTTTTCAGCACTCTTCACTCACATTTACAGCTGCTGCGCCACTGAGAAATTGACTGTCAGGCATTTTAAGCGATTTTCAATTCCACGCACATGCACGAACACACGCGCAACAGTAAATTCACATACTATGGCACTGCTGCACACACATATATACAGATATTTTGGGCGTTCTCGTGTTGGCCAAATTTGGCAAAGATGGGGAACCGAGGCGACTCGCCGCCCTTGCAGCGCCTTCGGGCGAGCAGTTTAACTCGCTGCAATAAACACAAAATGTGCAAAACAATAACAAAAATGCCATTTGGCGGCATTACAGCGAATGTTGTTGTTGCTGCTGCTGCTGCTCCTCCTCTTCCTCCTCCTGCTGCTGCTGCTCCTGCTGCTGCTGGCCATGTCGTTGTGCTTGTAAAGCTCAGACAGCTTGCCACAGTAAAAACAAACCAAAGACGTGGTCCAACCTGCAGGCTAGGCACAGCCAAAGGGTTGTGAGGGGAATGGGGGTAATGAGGGGCTGGGGGTGGCTGTGTGTGGCCAAACGACAGCTCGCTTGTTGCACAGCTTTCTTTGCATTTGGCCGAGTGCCAAAAGTTACCATTACGGTTGCTCTGGGTGTGACACAAAGGCGTCCGGCTGAGGCTTGTTGTGCTCAATTTAAGACCACTTGTCCCACAGCTGCTAAATGGAAAATTTACTGAATTGCTGCTGCTGCTGCTGCTGTTGTTGTGGTTAAAGGCCTTGACTGGCCTTTAACACGTCATTTTAAATGCAAGGCGCAAATAATGCGGTGACCAATGGTATTTATGGAATGACCAAGAAATGATTGACAAGTGCATCAAGACTTTGGCTTGTAATGAGGTCATTGACGGCTCCACAGCACTCGGAGTTGTTCTTTGTTGTCGTTGGGCCATTAAGCCACAGAATATTTAGCAATCGGGCTGACAGCATGATTGCATGCAAGTGCTGGCCACTACTGGAAGAACTCCTCAAACTTGACACCAGCTTCAACATTTTGCAGTACTTAAATTGCTGTTAATTACTGCATTTATTATTGCTTTTTTAGTCAAAGGCCAAAGCGAAGATTGTATTGAATCCACTTCACTTTTAACTGAATATATTTCTATGTAAATATTTATAGTATGCTTGAAGCACAAATATAGTCAAATAATTGCAGGGTTTGCGCATTTTATGTTGACCTCTTTTTATACTCCTTACGAATTTCCCATTTTTTGTCAACCTCTTTTTGAAAGAGTATTTTATTTTTTGCAGAATATGGTACACGGCTCATAAAGACTACATGCGTTGCATATGTCTCTGCCCATGTTTTTTTTTTTTTTTTTTTTTTCAAGGAAAAAATTTAAATTTATTTTGATGTTGTCAATAACAATTTTATTTGATTCAAGTAAATTTGTTGACATCACCTTTTGACTATGATATCTCTCCGCCTTGTGCCTGCACGGCGTATTGTACCTGTCTCTGTCAAATGATATTAGCTGAGTCCCTCGAATAAAAACATTCCTTTATGTATTAATTATATAATCTTGATTCTACTTACTTATCAGTCTCCCTAGAACACAAAATAATTTAGACTGATTTTTCACGATTCGCAATCTGGAGACTATTGAATGAGCCAAAAATAAGGATTATTTGAGAAGAAGGATTTTAAAAACATATGGCATGCCTCATTCCCTTACCTTTGGGTATATATTAGAGGTCTGCTAGGGTGCCAAATAGAATAACTTCAAATTGAATTCAGTTAAGTGAGTGAGCGTCGCACAAGTTGACTGAGTTGACTGTATCGAGTCACTCATGCATAGTCTTTGTGCTTCGCAGTTCATCGTCATTTCGTGGCAACGAAACTCCATGTGTATGAATGTGTGCTTGTATGTGTTTTTCTACCGACGACGCTTTCTCGAGTCAGTTTTGCACTCAACAGTTTTGCACTCAACTTTTTCGGCTTAGCAGTCAACGCCACTCAGTGTATTTTGAGCATTGCTCCGTCGAATAGGGTTTTTGCCATTCATGCAGATCTCTGTTATACATATATGTATATGAGTATTTAAAATAGCAACTCTAGGGTATCTTTAAGCCTTGAATACCTTAGATTTCTTTCTATATTTATTTTCTGCACTACATAAATTGTTAACATGTCACAAAGTAGCTTCGTTTTATAAAATTTTTGCATTTTGCATCACTGCGGCTGCAGCTGCATTTGCATTACACTTAAAAAGCCATCTCTCGAACACATGTTGACCCAGCTTGACCCCACAAAATAAGCAAAATTATGAGGTATATTTTTGTTTTTTTTTTTTTTTTTTTTTTTTTTTTTTTGTTGACAACTTTTAGTTGAAATTAAACTTTCATTATGTGTGAACTTTTGAAATACTGCTTTGCTGTGTTGGTTAAAGTGCGCTTGGGGAGTTGGTCAACGAAGAGTCTCTTAAGCCTTCTTAGGAGTTGTGGGAGTGTTAAATGCGAGTGCTTATGTATGAGGCTTAGAATGTGATGTGTGTTTATAGTTTTGAATGTTTTACATAAGTTGAACTGTGTTTATAATGGTTTTGATTTGCAAGTCTCTCATGATATACTCCCCTGAGGATTCGTCACTGTCGACAGAATTTTTTCAGGTTAAATGTGTCCACAAAGAACTCCCGTATTTTCAAGAACTTGAAAGAATGACAGCCCATATATGAAAATATTTTACTAGATTTAAAGACCCAAATACATATATTCTTTTAGCCCTTGTTAAAGTTACTTCACACTCAATTTAAATAAAACTAATTTTTTTGTATTGAATTGTTTAACATTTATTTGATTCATATGTAATTCGATATTATTCGATATTCGTTATTCGTTTATATAATTTGATTTTACTTGTTCAACTCTAACTACACATACAGTAAATCTTGTCACATGTCTTTCATTAAGCCCTATATACTAACATTATCCCATTTATAGACACTAAAAGGTGTGTATACGATAGCTAAAACTATTATTGTTCGAATGTACGCGTTATGTAATAATAATTGAATACAATTCAATTAAAATGCTTCGATTCTAATTCAATTGATTTTCCATAGTTTTTAGTTATATTTAGCTCGGTTAATACGGTTTTTGATTATTCAGTAATATCATTTGCAATGTTCTTAAGATATGAATACGACGTTTGCCCAACGCCTACGCTCCCCATCCTCTAAACTATGTGGTTTAAATGAAAACCTTTTGAGATTCTTCAGAAATAAATTCAGTTAGAGCGAAGAGCAAATTGTTGAACGGGACTTGGGTAACAATCTGGAAAAATAATTTCATTTAATTGAAAAGTTTTTGAAAACTTTGCCTATGCTCATATTAAAATATAAATTCCTTGGCTAGCAGATGAAACTTTAATTTCCAGTTGGTCAAACAGACGGCTATCAATTAGGCACACGCACACACACACACACACATACAGGCACTGTAAATTATTAGAAAAATTTGGCAACATTTTGAAAGTTTTTAAAGTAAAACCCTTCGGCAAGCCTCGAGCATGTCAATTTAAATGCTTGCCCAGCCAAGGCCCTCACATACGCCCACTGGGCACGCCTATTGTAATGTCTCTCGGCGAATGGGGTCAAGTGTGTATATGGCTCTCAAGTGCGAGCAGCACGGCTCAAGCGGCCAAAAGAAAACAATAAACTGTGTGCCGTGGCCAAAAAAAAAAAAAAATACAAAAAGAAAATCACAAAAGCAAAACAAAAACAACAAGAAATAACAAGCCTAAAGCACTAAAAACGCTAAAGGATCGCCAGTGTGTGTGTGTGCTGGAAATCAATACGAACTAAAGCCATTCGCCACGCCCCAAAGCACTCAGGGACGCCTCATTGCCGCTGCAGTTGACCGAGTCGCGCCCTGAAAAGTAGGCAACGAAAATTGTTTAAAGCGCGCGCTTAAATTAATAATTATTATTGCATATTTCGATATTCTTTAAACTGAACTGAACTTAACTGAACTGAATGCCAAATGCAATGTGAACACATATTTCCTTCTAGCATTGCATTTGATGGTGTGTTTGTTGTTGCTGTTTTTCCTTTTTGCTCTGGCTTCAATGCAGCCTGAACTTTGCGCGCACGCTGCTCACTTCTAGCGCAGCTCCACTCCGACTTATTGTGTCATAAAGTCTCATTGTGCTGGAGTGTATTGTGCATTCGTGACAGCGCTCCCAAGACTACCGTTACTAATTAGCGCGCAACCCAGTTAATCAGCTTCTGCCGGGGTATTATCCCCGACTCAGTGGGGAGCGGGCAGCAGACATACGAGAACAGAGGCTAGAGAACAGAGAGCAGAGAGCATAGAGCAGACAGCAGCCAACAGGCTGGCAAATGAGTTTTCTTTGATTTTTAGCTTTAAGTTTTTTTCTGCTGTTGTGTTTTTGCTTGTTTTTCTTTTTCTATTTTTTTTTTCGTTAGAGTTGCGCTCATTAAATGCTGGCAACTGGCAATGCCATGACTTTTGGCCCAAAGGAAGAAAGCCTAGACAAATATAATCTCATTGCGTTCGGCCCTCTGGGCGGGCGTTGGCTGGCGCTGGAATGCGTAAACGTTGACGATTAACTGCGCCATGAATATAAAGCAAAATAAAACGATTAGAACTAAATATAGAAAGATATCTCGCAACATGGCGGGCACCCCGAGCACTCGCTCTCTGTGGTTTTTAGCAGTAGCAGTCACTGCCCCCGCGTCCTCCTGTATCCGTCGACCGTTGAGCTACTGAGCTACTAAGCTAGCTGGGCTCCTTGGCTGCGTCTAGCGGCTGTTCGGCCTCTGTGCAGTCGGAGAGTTGTCGGAGGCGGCACTCAGCCAAGTAGCGAACTCTTCAGATTGCATCTGCCCTCAGTGTTTGGTTGCGTTGCCGGGCTGCGGTTGTAGCTGTGGCTGTGGTTGGTGTTGGTGTTTGGTTTGGGGGTGGACCTGGTCGTCGTCTCATTGCCTCATTGCCGTGCATGGCGCCCGTGCCCAGGGCAACAGCTGTAAGTCAAGATATGGAAAATGCTGAAATATTAGTGAGTCGGTGTATGTAAGTCACAATCTCATACACTAGAGACTGCATTCACAATGTTTGTCCGTCTGTAAAATAAAATCTTTCATAGCTTAAAACACACGCACACACACACACGCGTACATTTATATAAACCTGCTTCTGCCCAGAAACTTGAACAGTTACCCATTCCCATGATAAGTGCATTCAGAACATTATAGTACGTATACGCCCCGTCAACTGTCAGAGCATGCCGTGGGGGAATTTACATTTAACACGCGAGCGGACAAGACAGCTGGCAAGAAAGAATCATCAGCATGGCATAGCAAAGATTTCTGGCATGCAGCCGCGCACACATGTTGCATAATTGCGTTCCATGTTGCCAGCTGAAGCCGCATTTATAGTCGCATTTCAGCTGCCTGCATGTTGCTCAATATGTTGCTCAATGCGCGCCAGCTTGGCAGTAAAAAGTTCCCCCTGCCTCAGCCAACTAAATGGGAGTAGCAAGCAGGCAGAGGAGGAGACAGAGCGGGCAGAGGAGGCGGCTGAGAAGGCGGCAGGAAGTGGCAGCGCTTGGCTGCAGTATTGTTGATGCGCCAACAATGAGCAAGAAGGCACACACATGCAAATGCATCAGGACAAATGGGAAGCATAAGCGAAGTGTGTATACAAATACTAAATTTAATACACATACAAATTGCGGTAACAGGACTTTGAGCGAAAAAATTGCATTCATCTCAAAAGCAATTGCTGACTATTTTTTAATGAAATTGCTCACACAAGCGAATGTGAGAGTAAAACGCAGCAAAATGTATTAATTTTTTTACTTTTTTTTTCATTTTTCGTTTTCAATGGAGTATTCTTTGTCTTTGACATACAAGACATTTTTTAATGAAATTCACAAAAAATGATTCGTGTGTAAATGATAAACTGTTAAAATTGTTTTWTTTTTTTTTTTTTTTTTTTTTTTAATTGAATGCAGCAGACAGTTGCAATCATGGACAAGCGCTGACATGCAAAATAAATAAATAAATTCCAATTGAATCCGATAGTGATAAGCAACATAAAATTTTATGGTTGATAAAAAATGAAATGAATATAAACTAACATATTTTTCGGCATAAGCTCGGAAAAAGTAATAAAACTCTTACTAAATAAAAATATATAAAAACCTCAAATTTTTCTTCATCTGAGCTGATTAAATTTTGTATGTAGAAAAATTTATTTAATCGGAGTATTTGTTGACGAGATATAACTCTTTAAACTTCTATAATTATTCAGAGCTCTGTATACGATTCCTTTTTAATGAGTTTACCAGCATTAGCATGTGGAAAATGCTAATTAGTCATCTTCAATCTTCTAACATTTTTATATTAAAACTTATATAAAAAACAAAACCAATTTTTTTAATTTTACCAGAATTTTCTCTTTTTAAGTTGTAAACTAAAAATTCTAATTTATATCAAATAATTTTGTTATACATTTTTTTACTAGCTATAGCAGAGCTTAAATATCTTTCGTATTTTTTTAAATATTTTTTTTTATTTTTTATAAATATAAATATACGTATCTTGAAATTCACTTTTTAAAACCGCGTTCAATTGATGTGTTAAATTAATTAATTTAATCATTTATAATTTCTGGCAAATGCTATTCAACTACTCGGATGAACTAAATTAAATTGCAAATGAAATTAATAGCTTTGGCCTTTGATAAAGCTGCGTTTAATTACAAATCAATTAAATGACGAGTGCAGTGCTTCCGCTTTTGTAATTAAACGCTCTTTGGGATTCCCTAAGTGCAATGCGAAACTATTAAAGGGCAAGCTGAGAGGGTCCAAGAGTCAGGGGCCTAGATTAAACGGGCTGTACTGAAAAGCGCTGTGAAAATCGCAGCGCTGCATTCATATTAAAGAGAGTGAGAGAAAGGGGAAGAGAGAGGCAAACAAAAACATCCTTTGAAAGGCATTTGGGCGTATGCGCTAAACGGACGAGCAAGCAAAGGGCACATGGGCCACTCCCCCCGATCCCTCTATATGGATATCAGCTATCAGCCATGCGTTCACAGTGGCCACTGTGGTGCAGCCACCACAGCCCTACTATGCAAGCTCCTAGTTTGCACTTTTCTATATAGCGAAATTCAATCAAGCGCTCGGCTGAGCAGCTTTCAATTAAACGCTTATCGCGCTTGCTGCAGTTGCCGCTGACAAGAACAAAAGGCCTCGGGCCAGGCTGGGCCGCGGCTCGAGTGGGTCGCGGGGTCAGACATCATTAGAAACAAGTATAAAAGCTTCGGCGCATTAAAATAAAGCGCACTAGAGATTATGGAAACTCATTAAAAAAGTTTTTCGGCAACATATTTTACAAGACCTCAACTTTCGCTCAAGCTGCAATGGCGTAAAGAATGTTCAAGGAGTCCAGAGTGTGCAGCTGATGGCCTGCGAATTAAGTCCGAAAGTCCGACGGTTTATTCAACAGAAAAAAAAAAAATAATAAAATAAAATGAAAATAAATAAACATTACAATAACAAATGGTAAAAAAGAAAGAGGGGGGGGGCGAGGGCGAGGCAAGTATATAAAGGCCAAAAGCAAATAGAGCGTGTCATAAGAACAGGCTGACTCCGTCCGTGTCTGGGCTGCTAAAAACATTCATAAATTAGATGTCAAAGCCCTGGCCTTAACAGCAATAATATACACTCACACGCACACACACTCACACGCACACGCACACATATGTTGGACACATGAAAAAAGGGTCAAAAGTGAAAAGCAACACACGCAGCTGAGCCGCTTTGAATGTGAGCGATTGGTATTTGCTATTTGGTATTTGGCAGGCAAAAGTTGTTGCGACTCTATTAACAAATTATTTTTTGGCCAGCCAAAGTTGAGTTGAGGCCATCAATTCTGGCTCATGCAAATGAAAGTTAAATGTTGCGTGGCCCAACAAAAATTGAGTGAGCCCCTAGAGTCAATGGCACGTTTAATATCCTGCTGCGTTGACAGCCCAAATTTGACATATCCTGCCAATTTATTGCCACACTCGTTCACTCTTTCTATTTCACTGTTTTTTTTTTCTGTTTTCTTTTTTTTTGTCTTATTTGCATTGCTGGAAAACAGACATTTGCGTGCTTTGCTTACTTAATTTTCCCACACACACCCACACACCCACAAGCATACACATGCATAAACATAATTAAGGCAAGCGCAACAACATGCGAAACTCGCGGCATAAACATAAATCTCTGACAGACGTCCAGCAGCGGCAGCAGCCACCGACTCCTGCCATAACCCAAAACGCCGTAAAAAAAAATGAGATCCAAGTGGAACTCATTACAACTTGACTCGCGACTCGCAGCTCGCAACTCGAAACTCGCATTCATTCATGGCGCGCATTTTCATTCATACGCACCGTTGTACGTGAACGCCTCATGGTTAGCTCGGTTAGCCCGTTCGCCTTGTTGTTGTTGTTGTTGTTGTTGTTGCGATTGCGGCCGAAATATTATAATGCTGGCACGCACTTTTATGGACAGCCGTATTATCAGCGTTATCCTGGCCGAATTATGCGCTCGACTGCGTTTCACTGCGTACCGTAAAAATTGCCAATGGAATCTCGCCTAACAAGCCAAGCGGCTGCGGTTTTTATCCGTTTCTGCGGCACTTGTGGCGTATGCGTAATATTTGCGAATAATGCGAAGCGCTCGTTGCGTCTGCCTCAACGTTGCCGACGCGACTCAGCTTGTGCGTGGACTAAACTCCTGTCTTATAGTCCTGCCGGCGCTGTTGCTGCTGCTGCTACTGTTGCTTCGGCTTCGCATTCGTCTCGGCCCGTTCGGCGCTGCACTGCGTCGGCCGCGTTTGTCGGCTTTTTGAAACTTTGCCATTTGTTAGTGTGTCAATGGCGCTTGCATGCGGAAATTGTTGTCCAACTTGTAGCAAGTGCAGAAAATGTTGTTGCTTACCGCTCAAGCTGACAGCACAAACACCAACACCACCCACACACGCAGCACACACACACACACAACTATGCTGTCACATCATAATGCAAATATTTAAAATTCACCCACGCATAATATTGATGCTCAGCTTAGACGCAGAGTGACAAAAAAAAAAAAAAAAAAAAAAAAAAAAAAAAAAAAAAAAAAAAAAAAAAAAAAAAAAAAAAAAAAATAATATAAAATAAATCTAAATATTTAAAAAAAAATAGAAAATTGTAGCTGATACTTTGACGCATGGCGCAACACACGGCGCCTGCTGATGCTAATCAACTTGATCATGTTGCTGCTGTTGCTGTTGTTGTTGGCGCTGCCGTCAGTTGGTGCGACAAGTTTGGCAGCAGCCTGGGCGAGAGTGGGCGTGAGTGGGCGTGGGGTCTGCCTGGCTGCCTGGCTGGCAGTTTGCTATTATTTAAATCAGGAAGTTGAAGAAATTTCCGCTCCACACGGCTACAAATTGGCAGTAGGCCACGCAGACTGGCAACTGGCGCCGACACTACGGCTCTAGCCGGCTCTAGCTCGTCCTTGCGCCGATGCGTCGCGTCGTCGTCGTCGTCGTCGTCGTCCTCATCGGCCTCGCTTCCGTTTCGTGTTGTGCGCTCCGTTTCCCTTTGACAGTTACGTGCACAGCCGTCGTCAAGTCAATTAAATTTTTGTTTAAGTGATTTGAACAGCCGTGTAAAATATCATCAGGCCAGGCCAAGTCAGGCCGGGCCAGGCTGGGCCCGGCTGGGCCTCCCGCGTCCAATCTAATGAGAAATCGATGTGTCCCACACAATTTGCTTAAATCCAATTGAAACTCTGGTCGCGCACCTGGCACACCCGATTGCCAGATACTATATATACTATATAGCAGAGTAGCTCCCGGCGGCCATTTAATGAGTTTTTATTGCGCTGCGGGTGCTTTGATTGCTGCGACTTTTAACTTGATTTACGCGCCCATCACTCCCACTATTGATTTTACAATTAAGCCGGCTCTGGCCGGGCCTGGCCTGGCCTGGTCGCGTCTCGACTCGTCTCGGATTGGGTGTGAGAAGCTTGTTTGGTATGCAATGCATTTTGCATGTTTTCGCGTGTTTTGCGCATTTCTTTGCGAAATGTCTTACAGCCAGGATGTGCTCGCATGAGCCTGCTCCTTGTTTGGCTTTCAGTTACTTTTCTCTCAAGAGTGTGAGAGTCCTTTGTAGCAAGCTTTATGCGCCGCATCCGCTGCCTGGCTGCCTATTTGCAGTAGTTGAGGCAGCAGCAACATCGAGGCGCAATTTATGCGGTAATTGCTTTTTTAAGCGCTTCACATTTATCTTTTCGACGCAAGTGAAATGAGTTTGGCGCTGCCTCTGCCGCTGCCTCTGTCTCTGTCTCGCCCTTGCGTGTCTCCGTCGATTTGCTTGCAATAATAGCAAACGGCAGCAACAACAAGCAAACAATAATAACAGAAGCTCACGGTAACAATGACAACAATGCAAAAGACTTCAGCCCAACTACTTACAATGGCATTTTTATGACATCTTCTCTTTGCCTCCGCCGAGGAGTATGCAATGAAAATGCCAGTCGACTTTTGGCATTTCGCTTGCCCTTTATTTTGCCTCGGCCCAACATTTTACCCTAATTAATTAGACGCAATGCGAAAACGTTCACAACAACAACAACAAAAAGTACATACAAAACATTGTAGATTAAGATTAATTTGATGTGAAAAATTGCGACACAAACTTTTTGATTTATGCTCCCAACTTGTCTGCCAGCGAAAGGGGGTTGCAAATGGGCGAGATATATTATATAATTTTATGAGCGCTCGCTAAGTGGTCATCAAAATAGCTCTTAATAAAAGTGAAATCACTTTTGCAAGCCTTGCCGTTGTTAGAATCACTTTCGATGCGTCAGCCAAATAGTTTTTTTACAGCCGAAACATTTGCATTTAAATTTCCAGTGCACCCTAAACTTTGGCGCGCACCAGGCCACGGTGGCTTCCAAACTGCGCTCAGTCCAGCCTAACAAGTTGGCAGCACCGTCAAAATTCTGCCTCAAGGCAATAATCTGGCAACTCCATTACTCAAATTTCTCGATTATTATCTTCGATATGTGTCATCGATGCTCAGTAGTTAAATTAAACCTGGTTTGTTACACCTTGTTTGTTACTTTTCTCCCAAACTTCGTCGTCGCCGCCTGCCGTTTCGCGCTGTTCTTAACGTGTTTACAATAAACAATTGCGCTGGCTGCATATTGTTAACTATATCACTCTCTAACACTGCGTGTTCTCCACTTGCACGGAACTCGGGGTTTGTCAGAGAACGAAAAAAAAAAAAAACAACAAACAAATATTTTGTAGGCCACAGCGGATTTCGATTCGTTTTGTGTATGTCACGCCCAAACACATCAGAAACAAAAAGTAACAAACACAAGTTAACCGTGGTGCGTGTGACGACTAAAAAAGTGCAATAAAAACGATATTTACTAGAAATTGTGCGGCAACGAGACCTTGACAGCTGTAAGAAACACATAAAAACAAGTAGGAAAAAAACGCAATGGAGGTTAGTAGTATTATTATTGTTGTGGTTTGTGGAAGCGTTATGACAATAGCCAGCTCAAATGAATCTTTCATTGATAATTGCYGTTTTCCTTGAATGATTTCATTTCATTTCATTTCAATTATTATTCGACAACAACAAAATTAAGGCATTCCCTTTTACCCCGCTTACTCAGCGCTCTGTGCTCCGTGCTCAGTGCTCAATTGAAGGCAGTGTGTGAGCGAGGTGGCCAGCGATAACGATTACGTCAGTGCGTGCTCTCGCACACACTCACCCTCTCTGTCGTCCTCTCCCTCATTCGCGGCACGCGCTCTCATATTCGAGCTCTGGAGTTTGCGCTCTGGGCATTCACTTAGGCGTTCTCCCAAATGTTCGTTGTTGCTACACTCGCTCGCGGAGTTCGCTACAGGTCGCGTCATCTAACCCTATATTAATGGTCTTCATTATGGATTCCCATCGCCGGCTATAAAATATATCGTGTTATTATATCACCACAAAGCTGCTTTCTTTTTCATTTTGTCTTGCGGTGTGGCAACCTTATTATAGATTTCATATAAAATTTCGCAAACTTTGTAATTAATATTATCAAATTTGCATTTTTATATAAGACAATTAACAGCTGTTTATTGTTCCATGCCCCCTGCTTATCAGACTTGGGCATTAATCACCGCTCATTTATGACGTTGACGTAAACAGTTTACCCAGTTTCAGATAAAACATATAAATATAAATATTGATTATCCCATCGCCCACTCACTCAGTCTTTTATAGCTCATGAATATGTACAGAGATAATCGCAATGAATAAAGACTTTATGTTGATTATCCACCTTTCCCAACAAATTAAAAATTACCCATTACCATTTTTTGCTAAGTTTTTTTGATTGCTACTAATTACTTTGCTTAGACCTCTCTCTCATCTAATGGGTTAATGATTAAGCTGCGCTTTCTTGCCCCACAATTAAGCCCTTTGCCAGATGCGCATTTGGACGCCTACACTGAGGCGACAAAGCGCATTAAATGTCTTTTGTGAGCTAAGTAATTAATCGTCTTTGTTTTTACCATTTGACGGCCATCAAAGCAAAACATGAAAAGCCCCTCGAAATAGGGGCAGAAAGAAAAACACAAAAAAGAACGACAGTCGGCCAACATTGAAATTGGCCATTTCCGGCATTTAATTGACGTCGTGCACACGAAAAATTGTCGAATAACAAACAACAGAGGAATAGAACTAGTTTACCCATTGAGTGCGTTCTAGTGTTCCGCAGATTGAAATAATGAGTAGACACGCCGGATTATATGTGTTCCATCCGCATGAAGAATGGAACGAGTACATATCGAATAGCATTAGCAGATATATATGTTATTTTATGCTATGATATATATTTGTATAGATATTAAATTGGGTCAACAAAATACTTTTCGTAGATTAAAATAGGTCTGCGTGTGCAGCAAGCATTGCTAATATCTAGTTAAAATTATTATATCGTTAATATATTATTATATAGTTAATTAACTGCTCACTCGTTGTTTTTGGTGACTTGACAACCTTAACTGTTTTTTTATTCTCATAGTTGACTGAAACACTTCTATTAGTTTTTTTTTTCAAATTCACTTCAATTTATATAATATTTTATAATATTTTTCCATTTCCTAATTTCGGCTCAATAATTATTATAATAATATATATGTATTTTGCTTCAAGCTTCCCTTAACAATTTCCAATTAAGTTAAATTTCAATAATATCTATATTTAGTGACCTTTTCCCTATATTAATTCAGGCTATAAATAATATATATCTTAGCTCTAACCTTTTCCACTAATTTATAAAATAAATGAATAAATCATAAATACATATAATATGATTTACTCAAATATTAAATCCGGAAAGACATGATTATATCCACAACTAGGTTAATCGATATACGGGTGCTAAGACTTTCAAATATTTATTCTTATTTATATAGAAATTAGAACCATCATCAATATCTAACTTCAGCGCAAATTGTGAAACCTGAAAGTTGTTTGCCCCGTCTATTAGATATAAGCCGGCAATGAAATCATCATTGATAGAACGGACTAAGCCAGCATTAGTGCGTATCTAGATGCTAATCGAATTTCAAGACCAGTCCGCACCTTGTACATAATATTTCGGATTTAAATGAAAATGTGGCAAACCGTTGGGACGATTAAAGTGTTTCGGCATTTTCTTTTGCCTGTTGCCTCAAACTGTCAGCCGAAAGTTGTACAAGTTGTTAGCCACTTAAATTTGGCTGTTAACAACATTGACAAGAGGCAGAGGGAAACATCTCTGCGCAGCCCAGACAAAAGCCTAAAGTGTTTTCTCTTCCTCCACTTTGTTTTGGGCCATGAAACTTCAGGGAGTTGGCTGCAGTGGAAATTCCATAAAAAGCAGCTTGTCGAGCATTCTTTATTTTTTGTTTTTTGTTTTTTCTTTCATATTTCTTATTACTTGTAAATGTAGCTCTGGCTTTATGCTTATTTTCATAAATTTC